ATTATTTCAAATTTTAAAAACTTTGATGTTTCCCAATTAAAATTATCTCTATACAAACCAATAGTAAAATTTTTAGTATACCATCATTCTTTTTGTTTACCGTTTTCTTTTTGTATATTTTTTATTATTTTTGTGCTTCTACATACATACCCATACATACACATATATTTTACTTATTAAATGTATAGAAAATAACTACCACATGTATAAATAAGATAATTAACCCATTAGTGAACAATTTTTTTTTTATATTAAATTTCTCCAATTTTTAAGTGGATTCGAAAAAATTTAATGGTATATTTAAATTTGAAAAAAAATTTTTTTTTTGATCATTTTAATTCTCAAATTTATTATGGTACCATGGTCTATAATGGGTTAATAAAAAATTTTCATTGTACATATATTTTTTTTTATTTAAATATCATGAAGTTATAAATATTAATCCATTAATTCCTCTCTACAAAATAATTATCTATTTTCAATTTAATACACACATTCGTATATCAATTTCTCTTATTTATTTTTCTGCTCTACATCTGTATAGGTAATAATGAATTTTGGTAAAATAAAATCGTTAGTACATTGCATGCAAAGTTAAATTCAATTCATTCAATAATTAAATCCAATATAATACGGCAACAAATTCAAAGATATACAGAAGCGTTGTATTATACAGAAGATCTACATACTTAAAATTTTAAAATTGATAATTTCTATTGAACAATCAAGCTTGGCTTATGTTTCAAACAATATTAAAATAACTTAAAAAAATAGAGTTTTATCTTTGATGTTGCAATAATTTGCAATCATATTTGATTATTCCAGAGAGTTCGAATTAAATTAAATGCGTATTTATAAATCGCTGCTTATAGAATTTAATAACTTATTAAATAATTGTGTTCGATAGTGGCAATATACTTTTAACCTAAATTATATTGCAACAATTGCATAATGAAATACTTATAATGGTAGAAAGTACATTTTCAAATTAAGAGAAAAATCTAAATTCTATTTGCTATAATATTGACGAACGCCTTAGCGATTTGTAAATGTTCACTTATATATGTACTACTTCAATGTATTAATTCGTCTATATATCAAGGGCGTAAAATAAAATAATTATTTGATATTATTAAAATACAAATACAAAAAGAAGAATTTTTAATTTCGTCTTTTTGTATATTTACCTTAAAAAAATAATAACGAAAAATATTACAAATAAATGATAATTTTAATTTTAAAATTTAAATGTTGAAAATTAATTAAATATTTAATTAGCATATGATATATATGTATATATCACAGATATATATATATAATTTTAAATTATTTAATACAAAATTTTATAAAAATTCTATTTATTTTATCATTTTAAATTTCAAATAAAATTAAAATATTTTAGTTGAATGATAATTACAGTTGGTGATCATTTATACATATATTTATATATTAATTATTTTAGTAAAAATAGTAAATAAACATTCAATCACATTAAATAACATTTATTTAATAATTTTATTTTCCATTATATATTTATAATATTGTAATATTGTAAATTTATAAATTGAAATTTTGAGTAAATTGCTTTTTCAATTTAGAATTTAGTGAGAGATACGAGAAAGAGAGAGAGATGTATTTTTATGCATTTTTCTCATTTGAGTGAGTGAGATGCAATATTATATAAATAATTTAATTTAAATAAAAAACACATAGTAGACGTTACTTAAATTCAACATAAAATTATAATTATAAAAAATCATTAAAATTTCACATTTACAAAAACGATTATTACTGTTTTATATATACTTATACATAATATAATATGTGCCATACTGTGCAGTACCTCGTCTTGTGATAATTTACGTATACATAATATACATGTACATTATATTATTATATTTTTTTTTGTTTTGTCTATAGTCGTAACAAAATCATTTTATAAAATCAAATTTAATGTTAAAATATCATAAATTTTAATAATATAAATGTTTGTTTTAATATTTTTTGTATGAAAAATAAAAATATAATTACATATTTTTATTATTGGTCCTTCATGCAACATATTATTTTTAGAACACTTCTTATAAATTTTGAATTTTAGTTTCCTTTTTAGTAATTTTGTTTAATTAAATTAAAAATAATATTATAAATTTTTCATTTTGAACAAATATCTCAATTTTTAAAAGTTCATATTTAAATTTTAAAAATAAAATGTTGGTTTTCCTATATTTTTCTATAAAAAGAAACAATGAACCGTTCAATATAAACGTTACAATTTTAACAGTAAATTTAAAGTGACAATAACTTTCGACACTCGTAAAACGTTTTTCGTTTTTTGAGTTTTTTAATTCAAAATTGCAAATATATTATTCATATTTTGAAAATGATTCCCCAAAATTTACATTATTATTCAAAAATTCCAAAAACCTCTTAAAATTAAAACTCAAGAGAAAACCTTCATACTTTAAAATGAAAAGGAAACTAATTATTAAATTTTTTATTTATTAAAAAATAATTAAAATATATAAGCATAGTTATTATCCGCACAACATATTTCATTCAGAGTTGCATGTTTAAATTTTGAAGGACATAAGCAATAAATTGTAATTTATTTTTTTAAAATCTTGTTTTTTTTAGGAAATCAAGTATTTGGATTTTTCGTGATACGGTAATAGAGTAGATTTTTTATATTTTTAGAAATGATCCCAGAATTCGGGTAGAAACATAAGAGAGAATAAAGAATTATATTGAAAAGTGAATTTAAGTGAAAAGTTATATTGAAAACTCTTTTAAGTACTAGAAAGAAAATCAAAATTTAAAATGTAAAAATATTTTATATTTACATTATGAACGTAACACTGTAATGCTTGAATGTTCAGAAATTACCCTTCATAGCTTTTATTGTGTAGTATAATTACGTTACTACAAATTATATAGAAGATACTCATATGTGAAAAATATCGAATAATAACATTTTCAAAAATAATGTATTTTAAAAATACATTTTGCGCTCTGAGAAAATATCTTCATAACAAAACATTTTGAGTAGTGAGTTCTGGAAAATCAACAATGTATTATGTAGCCCATTCAATTGCACTAATGTTACTTTTTTAATAATGTCATTTTAGTTACACTTAATCAAAATATTTTATTATAAAATGTGTCCCATATGAAGATAATTAATTGTCACATTTCTTTCAATTGTGCAAAACACTCCGATCTTCCCCCAAGAATACAAGATTACCAGCCTAAATTAAATTTTGATTATTGAGTATAGTACTTAAAAATTTACTTTTAATATAAATAACTGTTATTAAATTCGATGTATTCGTGAATTAATTCTTCGGAAATTATAAAATAAAATTTTCCCTGGAAAACTGAAAAATTTTTTTTTATTGTAATTGAAAATTTTTTCATTAAACATTTTCTTCATAAATAATTAAAATTATATAATTTTTGATAATAATTATATAAAATAAATTTCATATTTACATCATTAAAGTATATATACATAATATGTATACATTATTATACATTATATATATATACATATATGCATAAAAATATTTTTTTCAAATTTGGATGTTATGTGGCTCGCGATCACTTTTTTTTTTCTCTTACACATTAATTTTTTTGTAGATTAAGTTTCACTCGAAACCTTAAATAAATAAATCTTATTAAAAACTAAGAGTCATGAGTATAATAATTACATAGAAAAGCTAAATATTATCAGCTTAAATATAATAAATTGATAAATATTTTTTTTTATAAATCGTCCTTACTTCTATTTTTGTTAAAAAAATTGTTATTGTTATACAAAGAACAATTATGTGTAATGATTTATGTGTAGAGTAAAATTTTTTTTTGAAAAATTTTTGTATAATATAAAAATTTTGTTAAATTTATGTATTTGCCTTTTGTGTTTAATAAAAAAGAAAAAAAAACAAAGAAATAAAAAATGTAATTCAATTTTTGAAAACTGTTATACTACAACTTTTTCAAAACAAAAAGCATTTTGAATCAAGTGAAAAATGAAATATTTTTTGGTTGTAAACAAAAGAATTACTGGAAAAAATAAAATTTTTAAATTGATTATTGAGCTTCCGTGTGCACCATTTGCGCTCAATAAACGAGTAAACAGCTCAAAAATGTATAACAATATCTTAGAGTAGATGTCTACTGTTTTAAATCGTAATTATTGTAAACATTAAAATAAATTAATTACTAAAACAATTTTGCATTAAATTTTTTGATATACGCAAGTAATATTGAATAGAATTAGAACCAAGTGTATACAGAAGCTCATTAACATTTAAAAAATATTTTATGAAATTATGAAAAAATTTTTTGTATTTTTGAAATTATATTTGATTGATTAAACAATGATGATCGAAAACAATCAATCAAAAAAATCAAAATATTGTGTATTTTTGGACAGAGTAGCCATTTTTTGTTTATTTTAAGTAGATTTTTATTGCTTACTTGTGCTTAAAAACTACATTTAAGTGCACAAACATGCATAAAGAAAAATTTATGAGTTTTTTTTTTTGGAAAATTTTTTGTTAAAATGTTGTTTTTGTGTTTTAATTTTATTGTTTTTGTGTTTTGTCATTGCGCATTAAAAATATTTTTTATTAAACTAACATAAAAATTCTTTTATCCAAATTAATTGTGATTTTTCATATTATTTTGTATACCTTTTCTATGTTGACACATTTTGCAACATTAATTTTCTTATATAAAGAAAAAAACATAACCAAACTTTTTTCCATTTTTCTTTTTAAAATAAAGGAATATATTGTAATATTATACATATTTTAAATATTGATTTTAATTAATATTTTTTTATATATAATTTTCTTTCTTAACTCAATATAAATGCCTTATATGCTTTTATTTTTTTCCCAATATAACCATTTGATATTTTAGTTTGTTATATTTTAAAATTAATTTTATTTTCCCTTTTTTTTAATTATCTTCCCGTAATTATAATTTAACAGATCAACGATCTTAATGCTCAAGTTAACGACCTCCGTGGCAAATTGTAAGTATAAAAACTATGTTTAAATTCATGTGGTTTGAAGAGGGAAACTTGATAAGTCGAATAAGTGTACTTCGGGTAAATTATGTTTATGAACCAATTTGAAAAGTTCACTAAATTAAACTAGAGAAAATTTAAATATTTGTTCAATGAAAAATAACCAAATTTGACTTGCAGAGTTTTCTCTTATAACCACAGAAAATTAATTTAAATTCAATATAAGATTATTTTGAAGAATGTTTTCTTTAATTCAAAAACTGTATATGTCATGTATAAACAGAAATGATAAGTTCCCTAATTGCTCATTTTGTTTTCAATCTTAGCTCGTTTCATGATTGAGATTTAAATCCGAATATCTTATTATAATAATATTGAATTTGAATGTTAATACTTTATACCAAATATTTAAAAACGTGATTTGTTTTTTAATTATTTTATTTTTTTTTAATCAAATTTAGCGTCAAACCAACCTTGAAAAAGGTATCCAAATATGAAAACAAGTTTGCCAAATTACAAAAGAAGGCCGCCGAATTCAACTTCCGTAATCAACTTAAAGTTGTTAAAAAGAAGGAATTCACCTTGGAAGAAGAAGAAAAAGAGGTAAAAAAAATTAATGAAGAATTTTTACTACGTTCATAGGTATTTTCTAGTAATCCAAGATTATTTAAGCAGGAATTGAATTTTTTAATACTTTAATTGAAAAAAATTATGACAGGGAACTGACAACTCGATTTATTTTTAAATCAATTCAATTTTTCTTTAATTTATTTTTATTAGACCATTTTGTTACATTCATATTAGATTATTTCGAAAATAATTTTTTATAAAATTTGCAAGATTTTCGCAAGCGTTAGTTTTAAAATGAAAATCTATAATTTAGCATTAGTTTGTACAATTAGTAATCCTAAGAATGATTAATTACTGAACTAACCAAAGTTGTTATACGCATTATTATAACAGTTTTGGTTGACAATATTAACTTTTCGAAATAAGTTGCGAAACAAAGTTAGAAATTGAACTTAATAAATAAGAACAATAGATAAAAATTAGCCTTATATATAAATTATAGGGTGTAGTATTTTTTTAAAATATGGAAAAATTAATTAAAATGGTTTGAGTTTCAACAGTTTAATAAGAACTACAATTAGATCTAATTCTCTAATTCAAATTTCATGGCTTTAACAAAATGTCAGTATTTTTATTATTTAACTGTATTTTGGAACTTAAAGATCACTATAAACTTTAAAGGTAGAAACTAAGATATTTTATAGGCTTTAAACATTTTAAAATAAAAATAATTTTATAATATTAAAATTAAATATGTTTAATGTTTTAAAACTAATGATTATTTTACTATGAGGATATTCAATTCATAAATTTTAGTAAAAACCAAGTCGGAAAAATCACGCGTATAAAAATAAGAAAATTTCTCTTTATTATCATCTTATCATGCACTGATCGTTTTAATTAAAATTCTATATTTGATTTATTAAATTCAATTGAAAAAAAAATTTGTGGAAATCGAATATAACAATATTGAATTAGCAAACAATACTTAAAATCTATTAATTTAAAATATTTTACTAGTTGAATGAAAATCTCTAAATGGATTGTCAATTTAATAAGGATTTTTCTGTTTTTACCCAATTCTTTTAAATAAAAGAAATTTTGTTATAAACGATTTTCACTAATTGTTATACACAAATTATATTCATACTTGAAAAAATAAAAATCATACAAAAATTTATATTTAATTTATATTGAGAATTTTGAATCGAATTGAAAATTCACATAGAAATATAGTCTATTTTAAAACAGGGAACAAAACATAAAAGGGGAGCTGCCTTAAACTAAAAATCTCTATATAAAACAAAATATTTGAAAAAAACAAAATCATCATTTAAAATAAAACAACTGTATTATAACCAATTTATTTTGAAATTATTTTAAATTATATTTAATATTTTCTTTATACCATAATTTAATTAAAAAAAATAACACAAAATTTTAATTTCATCTTAAAATCAAAAAAAAACAAATACAAAAATATTTGGAATTTTCAATTGAAAAACAAAAAATTTCTGTAAGAAGGCTAGGAAAACTGGCGCCGTACCTTCTCTAGTCAAAAGCGAACAGAAAAAGTGTAAGATTATAAATTTTTATTTAATTCCAAAACAAAAAATGTTGTAACTGAAAAAAACAACCCAAAATATATGTGATGTGAAAAAGTCACCGTTGAAAATTATCATTATCGTACTTTTTTTTTGTTCTACACACAATGTAATTATATATCAAAAAATTTCGACAAAAGTGAATTCTAACATTATAAGAGAAGGTGTCGAAATTTTAAATGTTTTCATTGTATTATGTTTGGCAGTCCAAATTAGCGTAATTTATTATTTGAATAGTAAATTTTTTATCTTTGTCAATATATTAGAATCACAGATCTTTCACAATGAACAAAATATTCAACAAAAACATTAAAACTCCATAAATTTTAAGTATTTTTCACAATTATGTAGATTTAAATTATTCAATAAAATTTTAAAAACCATTTCATATCGAAAAATTCCAAGTAGAGAGTATGATATACGAGGAAACAATGTAATTGAAGAATACTACGTCTGAAAATATGCAATTTTTTAATATGAAAGTCGATCACTTACAAAATCTTATATCAGATGACAAGTTTTTTATAAATTTTTTCAAAATCTTAGAATATGAAATGGATTTTAATTAAAAAAATTAAAAGACACAGAAAATTTCAATTTAATAATTATACAAGTAGACTAAATCACAAATCACGGGGTTCCAAGATATTATAATTCTTTATACAATCGTTTTTTAAAATACTTGAACTCAACAATAAATACAATATTAACCTTGCACATCCTTGCAAAAGTATACCCTTTAGATAAAGTCAATTGTATGATAATTATTTTATATAACAGTTAGATTCAAAGAACACATAATTGTTGTTGTTATTTAACTAGATCCCACAGTAAATTTTATTAGAAAAAAATCTTAGATATTTTCGTAAAACAAAATTAAATATTATCACAAACAGTATAAATGCACACCATATATCAAAACACACATATTGTTTACAAGTATTTTCGCTCTAAAATTCCGTGAGAATAAAAAATCTATTTGACAAAAATGTCATAATTTATGAAAATTGTTATAATATTTTTAAGACACAACAATTTCATAAGAAAATTCAATAAAAATATATAACTATTATTATTTTTAATTTATCATATTTTATTAAAATTTTTCGTCCTACAAAAATAACTATACATACATATTGAATAAAAATATTGAAAATCGGTTTTAAATTATTAATTAATAAATTCAAATTGAAAATTATAAGGAATATTAGTTTTTTTTATTAATACTTTTAGTACAACAGTAATTTTATTTGAGTACTAAAACTAAAACTCTCATTTTTTATTCGATTTCGGGAGATATAATTTATAGGAGCATTACTGTCAAATAAACATTGAGTAATTAAGTTTACTGCAGAATAATGAGCATATTCAGTACAAATTTAATACGAGTATACAGTAAAAAATTTTTTATTAAATACAAAAGATATTTGAGATTATTCTCAATTCGGTGTTGAATATTGAATTATTAGTATCAGCCCCACCAGCAATTTTTATAATAATAACATATTTCTTGGGGCATTAATATTTAAAATTTGGAGCAAATATTCCCGATACAAAAGTAAATACACAACATACAATCGTGATATTTTCCACTCTAGTTAATCCACAATAGTTAATAATATTAATAATTGTAGAATTGTAAAATTAAATAAGAAAAACTTTTATATGTTTCCATATGTTTCATAATTATTATCTTTTCATAAAATTAGCAATAATGTAGTATAATAATAAAATTGTAATTTATTTCAAATAATATTTGGATCAAATGTATTTGTAGTTAGCCATTAAATGTTTTGTATCTTGTATTTGTAGTAAATTTTATTTTGAAATTATTTTGTTATCTGTATTATGGTAGCAGAGTGCAAATTTTATTTTTAAAAAAAATTTGCACCATTTGTTTTCTTTTACGAGTATATTTTTAAAAAGTACACCCATATTTTTGTGTTTAAAAAATTTTTTCTTTATAAAATAATTTTAATAATTGCATTGTTTTTTTTCTAATTAATATTTACAGAAAAAACCAGATTGGTCCAAAGGCAAACCAGGTGATGCTAAGGTAAAGGAAGAAGTTGAAGCTGAAGCATAAATTAGCTGAACACCTTTATTTATTATTAATATTATAAATTTTATGTTTTTTTTTGGAAAATTATAAAATTTAATTAATAATTTATTATAAATATTTTCTTATTTTAAATTTAATTTCAAAAAAACAAAAGCCCATTTAAATGTTTTTTATTATAATATTATAATCAACAAAACATGAACTAAAAAAAACAAAAAAAAAACATTGTCCATGTGTTTGTTTTATTAATTTAGAAATGAAAAAAAATAACGAAATTCCCAAATGTAGAAGGCAACACTAATATCCCAAAAATTTAATTTTGAAAACATTTAAATTGAAAAATTTAAAATAAAATAGAAAATTTTTCAAGGATGTTCCAAAAATTTCTTATTCAATAATTGCATGCTCTTGTTTGAGGAATTAAAAATTTTTCAAATATAACAAATTTAGAGTTAGACGCAACATCATTAAATATTTTTTTACAAATTAAAATTATTGAATGAAAAATTGGAAATGGGTTTAATCCGAAGAAAAAAAACGAAAAAAAAATTCAATATTCAGAATTTAAAAAATTTTTACTTCTTTTAACATTTAAATTAAAAAAATAAATTAAATCATTATTACATTTCATTTAATAAAAAAAAAATAACTCACAAATTAAAAAGAAATAAAACAAAAATAAAGATTTTTAAAATAAAATATTTAAAAAAATTACAATTCAAAATTGTGTGTTTATTTTAATTGATTTGAAATTCCTGTATGTCAACCACTGTATCACCCCCCTCCCCCCTTCTTAAATTCCAAGTAGTTTTAATAGCAATGTGTCACTTCCTTATAGAATAATATTTTAGTTAATAATATCATTTAAGACTTAATGAAACCCCAATCAACCACCTTTGTAGTTTGCCCTTCATTGAAAACCATTATTTTAATTATTAAAGGAAAATATGGAAAATATTTTTTAATTTTTACCACATAATATTTAAAAATATGCATACGTATTAGTGAATTCATCACTATTCATATATAAGAAAGCAATTATAAAATACACTTTAAATAGTCACTTAGGAACTTAAACAAATCTTTAAAAACAATATTACTCATACAGTAATATAATTTTTGAATAAATTATATGAAATTTTCTCAGATTCGAATTTATCAAATTAAATTTTCAATAGTTTTAAATCGGATATGCATGTAATTGTAAAATTTCTATAAGCAGTAAGAAATTAATTAATCTTTATTTGACTCTATAAAATCAATACTATTATACAATTTTTTAGTTTAGAAATTTAGAATGAAGCTGAATTCAGCAAATATAATTTATATTATATCAGCTGAGTTGGGTTTAAAAACGGGTAATATGAAACTTAAAATTTTTCAATATTTGTTTACTAATAACATTTATTATTGTGTAAAATTTTCTGAAAGCAAAATCTAATTCAGAAATAGTTATAACTACATAATAATAATATAATTCTAAATTTAAATTTCTATATACATTCTGTATTTCGAATATAAAAGCATAAAATCCTTTTTGAAAAACAATTATTGGGCAATCTTCGTTTATGCCAAAACAATATGAAATACGACAATATACAACAACGCAGATGCTTGAACAGATCAAGGCAAATTTTGTTATAAAACAAGAGTACTAAATAAGAGTAACTTAATTCTCAGTTTTATCACTCAGTAAAATAAATTATTTTAAACGCTTTCCTCTCTTTTAAATATTTATCTTATCAACATTATCTTAAAAAATTTTTCGTGTATAACTTATATAACAAAAATATTTCAAAACTTACTTCTATCAAAAAATTTAAAATTTTTGTGAACATTTTTCTGAAAATTCATATTTTCAATTTCTTCATATTTGTGTAAAAATAACCTTAATTGTAAAAAACAAATAAATTTTAAATTCCAATGTGTGTGTAGGCTGAAGAGCTTAGCGAAAAGCTATAATATACAATTTTACAAATTTAAGTAATCAATTAGGTACTGCTTGTAAGAACAGTTTTTGCGGTAAAAAATTACAAGACAGTTAAGTAAACAGTATAATCGAAGAATAATTTCGTGCAGAGCAATAAAAATTAGTCAAATAATCGAAAATAAAACAGATTTAAATTAAACTCAAAAATTAATTTTGCGCAACTGAAATGGTAATAATTGTGATAATCAATATATAAGTAAGAAATTCATTTTATATAATAATAAAATTTTTTCTTTCATTTTTTCACTACTTTGCCCTACAACTGTAACTAATTTAACATTATATTTAAAGTTTTCATATTTTCATGTTAATTTTGAACTATATTAAATTTTTTTATTCTTGCATATTTAAATTTTATTTTAATGCTTTAAGTAGATTAATTTAAATTCTAATGCAAAATTTCATTCTTAATTTTATTTTAAAACGAAAAAAACAGGACAATAATTCTAGCTTATTAACAGACCTGCCATATTTCATCTTTATTTATGCTTTTAACTTGTAATTATTTTTATTTTTTTACTTTCATTTTTTTTTTCTTAAATACTAATATTTTAAATTAATATTAAATAATTTGTAAATATATAGTTATTTGATTTTTCATCTAAAAAAAAGTACACGTAAAAATGCCCGTACAAGTAATTCCGAAATTATTTATTGTGTTTAATGTGGACAAATGTTGCAAAAAATTATCCAAAAAAAAAGCCGTTCAAATTTTATTTGGGTATTTTGATTTCGGTATGGGTACTTCTGACAAAAGTATAATATCTCCTAAAGGAACGGATAATATAACTGTTGCACTATTTCTGTAAATAAATATGCTAAAATAAAACTTCAATAATGTTGTTGCCACATTTGCAAGAGTAAATTTACATTTAAGGTGGTAAACTATTGTACTCTAATATTTTATTGCTGTTTTATATTAAAAAAATTTTAGCCGAAATTTTTAGAAATTATCAAAGTGCAAATCTACGTGCTTAGAACTTTGTATTAAGATAACTCGAAATGGTTTCCATTTAAAATTATTGGAAAAGTATTTGTACTCCAACTTTTCGTGTAGAATTTTTCAATGCTATTCATTTATGTTCTTAATATGACCGGCATATTTAAAATATCTTAAATACAAAAATTTTACATTCCAACAAAAAAAATACTTCAAATTAAGTTCTTTACTGTTATTTTGTGAAAATATTCCAATTTTGATTGCATAATCTGCTAAATTTTCTACAAATTTTAAATGATACCAATTGATTATTATTATATAATACTTTTATAAAACTAAAATTTCTTTAGATATTCTGTACAATTTGAATAAAATGAAAGTACAAATGTTTTCCGAAAAGTAATTTTGATTATTTTTTTAACAAAAGAATTTCTAATTTAAAGTGAGAATTTATTTTGTGTTTTTTTATACTTTATAAGGCAAAACGCGAATTTTATGTGTACTTTTTTTAATAATAAATTTTAATTTAATTATAAAAATATTTAAACATTTTTTTTTGTTATATTTAATTTATAACGTACATATAAAGTATATATATGTAAATATGTATAAATTTATGTACACTTGTATATACAAACAAAAAATCCCAATATTGTTTTTTTATATTTTATTTTTTAGGAAGCGCATACTCCCGAAACACCAGCTTAAAGATCATCATAAATATTTTATATTACGAATAAAATCACATTATATAAATACTTATTTTTTTTTTGTATTTGAAAATTTAGCCAACTATTTGTATTTGTTTTCTATATTTAAATAAAAAAAAAAATATTATTATAATTCATATAAATATATATATGTATATATTATTGTATATAAATATATACAACTACAAAACATACACATGTAAATTTTAAATATATAATTTAATTATCATAATAGTAGCATAACATTATGTATAATAATTAAAAATAGATCAAAAAAACAAAAAGCTATAATAACAATAACCAATAATAGAGAAAAGAAAAATTATTAAAACAAAAATGACAACAACAATCAACAACAACAATCAACAACAACGATCACCAAAAAATTTTTTTTATCCTAAATGAAAATAATTAAAGTAAATTTTAAATTAAATAAAAACAAAAATATAATAAAACAATTAGAGAATTGAAATTATTAAATTATTAATTTAGAAACTTTTAAAAATTTCTTATATTTTTAAAAAATTATTAATTTATTTACAAAAAAAGGAAAAAAATATTATTTAATTTAATTTTACTTTAATTTTTTTTGTATTTTTATTCAAATATAAAATTTTAAATTATTCCTTTTTTATTTTCATAAATATTTGTTTTCTGGTTTATAATTTTTGTTTTTGAAAATTTTTAGTTTCAGTTCGATATTTATTTTTTTACTTGTTCATTAATTTTTTTTCTTTCCGATCTATAAATACATATATATGTAATAATATACATACATAAATGTTTTTGTTTTAATTGTATAATTTAATAATGAGAAAAGAAAAGAAAAATTATTATATTTTTTAAATAAATTGTAAAACATCCAATTTTAATTAATTTAAATAAAAATAATTTAATTAATAAAAATAAAAATTTACTATATAACAACAATTATTATTGTTTTTTATTAATACAATAAACAAATTAGTCATTGGTAGAGAATTATAAAAGTATTTAGAGAAGGGAAATCTCTTTTGGAATAATAAATTGAGAGAAATATTAAAATGGTCATATATGTATGTACCATATATAAAACAATGCAACATTCTCAAAATGAGAGTTTGATTTGATATGAAAATGAGAGCGTCGATGTTCCATAATCGAAAACAATTTATAGAGAAATTAGGAATCGAAGCAAGGTAGAATTTTGGAAGTTTTGTGCGCAATAACTTCCTCCTTATGTAATGTTATTTTAATGCAATTTGCAATTGAATTTTGTAAAATATTTATTTAACAGACTTTCTCACTTAATAGAATAAAATTAATTAGCGGGGTTTTTTCCAAAAAATATTTAATGCCTCAAAGTTCGAACTAAATGATTATTTATTCAAAACATTGTTGATACAACCTTCTTGTATGAGAATTGAAAACAAACAATTATTTTGAAAAGAAAACGCTCACATTGTTCCCATACGACTATCTTGTTTTAAAATATTTTCAGTCCAAAAGTTTTTGAAATTATGTAAAATTCATTTTTAACTTTAGGCAAACTTGTTTTTTTATCCGTGAAACTTATGTAATTTTGTGACTCTTATATTATTTCAACCATATAATATCTTAAATTAATTCAATTTTAAAATTTAAGATCGATTAAGGACTATTTAAAAATTCTTTTAAAAATTTAATGAATTTAAGAACAAAATAACAATATTCTTGCATGATATTCGAAATTACTTACATAGTAATGTTAAAGTATCTACATGATACTTTACAATTTTTAAATTTCAATATGAATATGCAAACGATCAACTAAGTTTTCATATAAATGTCATTGATCACTTTTGAATTAATTATGATGAACTCAACATCTAATTTATATAGATTATAGTGATTTTTTTTAAATAATTCACTGAATTTCAATATTTAAGTATAATACTTAAGCAAAAAGAGTATTGTAATAGTAAGTATGTTTGTAATCGGTAAATTCTCGATAAATAAAATCTGTTTTAAAATCTCTCATATTTAAAGTCATAAATAATTTTTTAAAGAAATCAATAATACGATAATGGCTTATATGAGTTTTATTCATCAACTTGTTTCGGGAAACGTTGTTTCGCCATTTTTGTTGAATCAGGTGTCTTTTACAAAGAATTCAACCAACTTCAGGTCGGTAGGGCTTTTCAATATTCGTCATCACAGTACGGAATTTGATAGGTTGTTTTGATATTGGTGTTAGTAAGAGTGCTCTGAGATCCGCAATTTCTAGAAATTTAACTTTCTAGGAAGTCTTGTGGCTTAATTCTTTGTTCATTGTTGCTAATTCTGTTTCTGTTTTTCTTTTTTTCAAAAATTAATCCAAAAATTTTTTTGTTTCTCTCATTTTAATAAACTCTACCCTTACTAACTCTCCACTATCCTTTTCCTTCCTCATCAAAGATGATTTGGCAATTGAATAGTCGAACTTTTGTACGTCCTAATAATGATTGTTTTAACTCTTTCATGCAATATTAATTTGCGTGGCAAATTGATGCTTGGCCTAAGAAATTCGTCTGATGTACATAACAAATAATATAATCCAAATGCTCATTCTTGAATTAAAGTGTTAATATTTTCTAATATAAAACTAAAAATTTAATATGTTATTTTCATTATTAAAAAATTTTTATTATTATTTTACAAAAACACAATATATAAAATGAACATCACATTTCAAAAGTTTATAATAATATTTTATATAATATATGCCATGTTATATTTTTAGATGTATGTGTAAATGGTATTTTAAGTTAAAAACAGAAAAAAAGGTAAAGAATGAATACAAAAAAAATAAATATAAAAAGCGGGCTTATACAAAACAAAAAAAAAACTAAAAATAATGCTTTCAGGATACAAAATATATGGCATCAATGAAAATGGCCTCAAAATCTATAATATTTTAAGGACATCGCATATGTATATGCAATACACATTAAATAAAATGCAAGGATACTTGTTTACGTCATTCATTATCAAAAAAAAAAACAAGAAAAAGAAAAATAAATAATAAAATTTCTTTTCACAATAAAGTTTTTGTTTTATTTTTTATTTTTTTTTTATACAAAATAATTTTATGTACCTATAAATATAAATGTAGAGTATGCATTCAATGAAAACTATTAAAATATAATAACAAACCTATGCGTATATATATGTATAACAAAATGATTTTATGTATTGTATCAAAAAAAAAAACCCTTAACGTTTAATTTTCAAAATAATTCTAACAACGGTAAATAAAGTTTACTGTAATACTTGTAGTATATCTTAATTTGTATGCATGTGTAAGTGTATATGTTTACAGAAATTTTGAAATTTAAAAATTTAAAGTTGCTCTTTATTCCTTAATCTCGTTCACAAATATAATAATCATCCATATAGAACATATTTTGGTTATACAGAATATTTATAAATTTTGTTTCTTTACAGAAGAAATCTGCAAACATTATGCATCAAATATGCATATACATAAACAGTATATATAGGAAATTTTTATGTAAATTTAAACATAATGTTTTATATAAAAAAAAACTCTTTACCTATATACAATTATACAGAAATTATAAATATATAAATGCATATTGCATATTATATGCCATCCGTTATATATTTTTATATACATAATATTCTTGTATGTATACTTCATTTATGTACGTATATAAAAAGTGAAAAAGAAAAATGTAGGTTATTTTAACAGTAGGTCACTGTGTTAGCAGTGAAATGCTATTTTTAGTTTTTAAATATGTATATAAATAACAATAATATAACAGTAACATATATACACTGTGTATTTCATATTATATTATATAATGTGTATTGTATATGTTCATGTGAATGTATTGCATATTTGTGAATATAAGGATAATAAATGATCAAATGTAATATGCAATTTAAATAGAAAAATTTAGTTTTATTTTTAATTTAAAAAAAAAATGTTATTGTTTTAAAAGTTTATTTTAAGAAATTTTAATTTTTAAATAATATATTAATTATAAATTAATATATTAGTGTAAATAAAGGATTGAAAAAAAATTAAAAAAAAATTTAAATTTGAAATTTTTGCAATATATATTATTTTTGTTATATATTGCGGAAAATTGCATCTTATATTTGATGCGGTTAATTATACATTCTATACTCATGTATACACAGAGGTATACCTCTATATATATATATATATATATATATATATATATATATATATTTCATATATTTATGAATTTCTTTTAATATAAAAATGAATATATAGAAATTTTGTTGAATTGCTGCTGCTTGACTTAAATTGATGTTGTTTTCAAAAAAAAAATAAATTAAAAAAGGATAAAAACAAAAAAATAAGGAAAATGAAGAATAATAAAAAAATAAAATGTCTATTCTAAAAATAGAAAATTGCAGAATTAAATAATACCTGACCTATTCAGCAACTGTTCGATGACGTATATTGTGAGTTAAATTTAAAATGCATTAACAAAAGAAAAGAAAATACAAAAAGAAAAAAACAAGAAGAAATGAGTAGTTTAAAAAATTGAAATTTTATTTTGTTGTTTTTTTTTTTTTCAATTTCCTCCTTCTTTCCGAGTATTGCAATTGTTATACGGTACATATTGTGTATTCATTTATGCATTTATTTACTTTCTAATCAAGATTTTATTTAAAATTAAAGTGATTTAATAAATTAATAAATAAAAAAAAAACTTATAACAAAATTTTATGTTTATGTATTATGTATGTGTTATTCACGTAGAGAATTTACGTAATTTTCGGTAAAAAAAAGGAATTAATATCTATCTATACTGAAATTTAAATAAGAAAATTTTTAGTTTATTATTTTAGTAATAATTATACAAATCTAATACATAAGTATTTTTGAATGAAATTAGGAATTAAATGTGAGGCTTTATTATATAGGAATTGGAAATAAATTATATAAATATTATTAAAATATGTATACGAATTTTTATACCACTTCGTACAGTATTTATTACATAAATTATTATTGTATTACTATGCTTCCTCAAAATTTTAAATCTATATATGCAGTTTTTGGTAAAATTTTATAAAATGTCATATATTTGGTAGAATTCAATAAGAAAAACCATGAATTCCATTGAATATTTGAAAATTTCAAATTCCTCTTAAGAAAATTCATATTGATTTTCGGTATTGCTTTAATTGCAACTGTGAACTATTTAGTATTAGTTTACTTATATATGAACATATTAATATATGAGGGTTTCAGAAGCAGAGTGGCGTAAGTCACAAGTAAAAAAAAATGTTTTTGCTGCGATCGGTTATGTACATCTTCTAGAATCAGTGATATTAGTTTCCAGTTTCGAAATAGTTTTTTTCCTATTTATTTTTCACAAAAGTACTTTTGCTTTTGAAAAAATTTTTGATTTTTCAAAACCAAAGTGGCATAACCCACATTGTGGCTTATGCCACTTTGCTTCTGAGCCCCTCAAATGCAATATGTTAATTAAGGAAAAGACTTAAAAAATTGTGTAACACTCACGCGACAGAAATATTACCGTATATATTTTAAAATGAAAAAATTATTTCATAAATGATGCTATAGTATTTCCGAAAAACCAATGAAAACCTTAAAATTTTAAGCACATGAGAGAACCTAGTACAATTCAACTGGTTTTTTGTATATATTATAATATATATTAAATATTAAAGAATTATGAAAGGCAATTAGAATTTTATTTATACGAACAACATTCTAATACAATTATCATCTCTCATCATTGTTGAAAAGAGAGTATTATATTACTAGAGTAAATAGACACTAGAATATTATAATTAAATAAAAATTTTTATTCAATAACAAAAATTTGTATATAACAAAATTAAATATGAAAATTAATTTTTATTTAAAATTTATAGTTTTTCTTTAACGAAAATAATCGTAG